TCACACCACGGTAAGGTCCAGTCTCTTCGTGGCGGCAGCATGAACTAAATTTAACGCAAACATTTATGGCTAGCATGATAGGAGAGAAGCAGCGAAGGATGTGTGTAACGTCTTCATATGATTCAGTTCTGGTGCGAGACTTCTAGTGGAGAAAATGTCTGATGTGAGGAAAAGATTGTAGATCAAACTTTATTCAGCTAGTCCTGTAGTTTCTTAAGGCATCTTACACGAAAGCATTACATATACCATTTTCATTACGAAACCACTAAGCGTTCTGTTTAACCAAATCCGGTTACACCAATTGGAAAATATATCCAAAGAAACTTTTTCTCATTTCCGTCACTTGCTTTGTCAGGGTTCACTCCAATGGCCCAAAGTGTTTAGACATCATGGATCCCAAGCCGTCATCAGAGAGGTATGATCGTGCATACGTGTATCCTTTACCGAGTACTACGTACCATTAGAAAGCATCATCGATTCTTTGACTAACGTATATATATGTATATATATATACCTACATATATATATATATATAAAGTTGAACCGAAATATTTTCAATATCTTGCCAGATCAGTTTCAAGAAGTTTTTTGTGACTTTACTGTAGTGACAGTCTCAATAGAAGACCATTATCAAGCTGAACGGGAAGGATATTATGGTAGACGATTCCCTAAGACACTCTAGCGGCTGTCAGTACGTTCCAGCCGCGCAATTTGTAACAGCTATTCAACAAATTCTAGGATCTTATTTCTTGCTGCGGCTAGTTATTAACAAATAATCGCCGTACATAATTCCGGAGGAATTACAAATATATCCAGGAGAATCTAAGGCTTAGTGAGGTTATTATTACTTTACATATGTATAGTTTCTTACCGTAGTAGGATAGGTCAAACTTATTGGGATCGCATTTGAAGAATTGTCTCGCAGATTCGGCTAAGTCCAGTGCCTGATTGATCAGCTGTTTTCCTTGCTGTTGAACTTTTTCCGGTAGGTTCTGTGGGACCTGATTACTGAGAACAACATTTGTATCGCCCGTAAAGTTGTTCACTGTGAGAAACGCACGGTTTTTCGACAATTCGTCGTTTGTAGCGCGATGCACCTGTGATGGATCTCGTTGTATAGATGAGGTGAATTCTTGCGTATCCTGAAAACTTGATGGAGAGGGTGGTTCACCGTGAATGATGGAACTATCGGACCAGTCAACATCAGGTTCGTTGAAGAAGTTACGTTCTTCCTCAGAAGACTGTAAAGATTTTGGCTGGAACTGGTGCAGGCGATGCATTTGTGCCCAGTCCTGTGCAGATCTCTGGCCACGAACCAAAATAGATGGGTCCAGTGAGGCGAGTCGAAGACGTGTAGGACCTTCATGACGATGCATCAGTAGAGCAAAACTGATCACTGAATAGCTCATCAGACATATTATGGCTGTCCAGAGTAGTATGCCGAAGACGACACAAATTATTGACTGTGGGTTGGAGGAAACATGGTTTTGTTAAGAACAGTTTAGAAAAATGTTGGAGTGAAAAGTGCGATCAAATAATTTCCGAAAGATATGTCTAACCAACACTTCGTTTGAATAATCCATCCTAAATTTCAACTTTCAATTTACAAATGGTACCTGGAAGGTGCCTTCCACCAGATAATAAGCGCCAACCAAAATATGATGCAATATATACGGGTGAACAAATATTCTTCGGACAAAATCCCTGAACAAAAACCATTCCCCTGAAAAGGCGAAAGGTGCCTTTTCATTGTGGGCCTCTTTTCAACGAAATCATGGTTCGAATTACGATATTTAGTGAATAATAGATGAGCTATATGAGTAATAACTGCCAATAACGTCTTCTTTATATATCCGAATGGTCCCCACTCTCTGCAGCGGTTACTTTACTGACATTTCTAGTGTAAATGATATCTCTCAAAATACTGACAGGATTACTAGTGCAAACGTGTAAATCTCCATTGGCCGCTCATTGAAATTCTAAAATTTGGATAGGCGTTTGTGGAGTATCAGCGAACGAAGATCCGTGAGGTTCTATGTTGAAGTGACGCAAGTGCCTTATAGCCATTGATCTCCAGTGGAAGGTTTAATATAAGAATAGAACTCTACCCATGAATCTCGCGACTAATGCTACCGTCCAGTTGTCTGAGCGAGCATATTATTATTTCTAAAGCCAATGCCGCAGTCAGTTCATGATATGCTAATATTGCCCACTTAGTTTGTCCAATGCAGATGACATGCATATTGAAAAACAGCCGACTCTTGATCATCATTTAGTTCGATTACAATCACTGCAGTGCACACCAGCCCCATACATTCAACCGAACACGGCGGAATGTTTTTTGCGAATCAGTATATACGCTTCTTTATGTGACACTAATTAAAATATTGATAGAAGCTGTCTGACGGGCAATTACCTGGTTCGCTCTCCATTACATGCACCTCGTCGTGCATATTCTTACCAGATAAATTAGTTGCAGGTCAAGCTAAATTCGAGCATTGATGGGCAGTATCTCTCAGAACGTTTCTGAAACCATTCCAACGCATGTGAATATTGCGGAGCAGCAATTGCCCTGAGACAACTAATTTGACCGTACTTCATTGAACCAGTTTGTGAACTAGTTTTTGGTGGGCGTCCATGAAGATAACTCAAAATTGCCTGGGAAGAATATTTTCAAAAATTCAGCTAAGCGAGTAGTGAAATTTGTGACAGAGAACGGATAAATAGTGTGAGCCTGGGAGTGTCTCGAGTGAAATTGTCTGGGGCCATAACTGAACTGTTTTTTCATTGTAAATTCAAAAAACACATTTTACGATAAGTAACATTCCGATTTCAGATGAACAGCAGGTTTCTTGTCAATTATTGCCTCGTTTCCTCGTGACTGGCGGCTTGATCTTATGCACCTGATAAATTACCCTGCTGCTATGATTGTACTCATACGGTTGGTAGTTTACTTCTACTAAGCAACCTAATATTGCTATCAAGGTCAACACATGATCGAAGGCTACCTTTATCGGACCGGTAGAATAGTGATGCAGGAGTCAAAGGTACGGTTATCCTGAATAGTTCATTCAAGCGCGTATGAGTTTCATGAGAGCTCATAACCAGTACAGCTGCTAAATCGGGAACAATCGCAAACTTATTTGAGAATCTGATTTCTGATGCAAAATGTGTAGAGGTAGAAAAAAGTAATAGAGCTGAAATTCAGGTAGCACTGTTGTCGCCTGTTCTGGCCTTACTATTTAGTCGATGATAAACCCAAGACATTTTCTTCTGAACTTTTGCTGTTTCTTTGCTCATATACTCAAAGCAGTTTTTATCCACTTTTACGTCAAATCCCCTTTTATTGCACACCCGAGATCACTTCTCGTTTGAGTACGAAAGAACAGAATTAATCCCACAGTTTGTCTTCATGTTATTATTCACATACGTGAAGCAAAGGGAAGAGAGAAATGTTGTCTGAAACCACTCTGGAGGTGATAATGGCGGAGCGAGTAGCGCGATAAAAGGACACGGAGAAATTTCGGGTGCACAAATAACGACAGGGCACAAACTTTTCGCGCAGTCAAGACAGTTCAGGCAGATGGTCATTATCCTGGGATTTAAACCTATGGGTTGAAAAAAAATCTGAGAAGCAGAAAGCAAACATCCCAAGTGCTTAGCACTGTGTGGGAAAAGAATAGAAGAAAGGTTTCGTAGGATAGAACTCTGTGTGAGTGACTATGATTAAAGAGGCATTTTGAGCAGTAGAAAGATTTTTCAGTGGGAAGCAGAACTGATAATTTACAAAAACATATTCCAGGTCAGTGGTGGTTAAATACTCCAGTCACCTTTGTGAGGAAGGCGATTTAGTGTCAGGATTTGAAAAATGCGTCGAAAACTCCACGTAAATCCATATCCACATCATTTACTCCAAATTCACTACGAATGACTGACCGGTGGTAAAGATTAGCTCTAGATAGAAAATCTAGAAAGCACAGTCGCCTGATCAACGTTTTCTCTTGTTTAATACTACATCGGGAATTGAGTGTGTTCTCCATGTTAAGGATCGCAAACATGGATAGATGCGTTTCGAAGCACGGAATAAATGTATGACTTTTACCTGAGCAAGCACTCTTCAGAGCCTGATTCCTAGGACATCGAAATGCAATATTTGCAACTTCTTTTTCATTCAGCAAATTAATTCCACCGAAAATTCAGTAAGTAAGGAATAGATGCTTCTTTCTTGTTAGCAATCATTAGTGGTGCTTGGTTCATCAACCCAGAGAAAATACAATTTGCCTCTGTGCTTTAGATGGGTTAGTTCATTGGGTAAAAGGTGACTCATTGACTCATTGTGTCTTTACAAAACTCTGTGCGTCTGGACTGCGAGATTCCAATGCTCGTTCAACGTATGGCACGCGTGCTTCCATCTGGGAATGTATGCCGGTCCAAGGACGGGTCGGTAAAACGACGTTACGACCTGAATGCTATTTGTTTCACAAAACGCCTTCATCTCACGAAAGATAATGGCGAAGTGATCTGGAGGGTCAGTATATTGCACCGAGCAGTTTCACATATATCACCAGCCTTTACTGAATTCACTCCTTACTCAAGGTTCACTGTTGTACCTTCATATCTCAATAAAATACTACTGATTTTCTATTGTCTGTCTGACAGCTTATATGATATGAAATATACCTCTAGTAATGTGAACGTTTTCAGTTTCAAGCATTCATACAGATCCTCGAAGAATCATCGAGGCAGTAACCCTATCAGAAAGTTTCCTCCACGGATAGAATGCTTCATTGTATTGTGATAACAAAACCTGATATAGCGACGAGTTAACTTCATAATACTCATAAACCACTTCAGGCGAATGATTACATTCCCTTAGCATACGGATGATATGCAAATTTGAGAGTTAGGGTAAGTTGCTCAAAAGTATGTAAGGTTAACTGGAATCTCGATTCTTTCCATCAAAGACGAATGCCCTTGTCCATTTCCAGCAAGAAAAATATATCATAAAGAGGAGATTTTTCGGCTCCCTCCTGGAGATAAGATTAAGTGGTTTTACTAAAATCTTCTGGTAGGACATTCCAGGAAGATGTAATCTTTCCAGAAAGGCCCAAGTGATAAGGTAACTGCAAGTGTGTCGAGTATGAGCATTCATGTTCCAACGATAAACAAAAGCATGAAGGATAAAACTGAATCCCGCACTCTCTAACAAATTGCCTTATTTAAACAACTCACGACGCAACAGTTTATCGTAAAGAATGTTGCACATTTTTAGGGGAAATTCTGGAATCCTAAAAGAAATTTACTGCCGCGTAAAATATCTATCTCCAGCCACTTTCCTTCCAGTGCCAACCAAAAGTTGATTTTGATGTACTTTCCAAAAGGAAAACAGTAATATTCAGATGCTTATGTGAGTCGCTTATTCGAGTTGCAGAAGGGAGCAACTTACCAGCATGTTACAGCATCGACCACAAATTGACTTTCTTGTGCTTTCGAAACACTGCTTCGCATTTCTCCCAGAGGAGATGGCGCATACAAAGTAAGCCAATGCTGCAAATAAGCCCGTGGCTCCCATCAAACCGTAAACGACATATTCAAGACATGGGAATCTAGGGAGAGGCAGAAACAAACAACTATATTTAGAAAGGAAAAACAATTTAGTTTGACAGACGATGAACTTTATTGATTCGGCAGCCGAGCCAAGCGTCTTCTGAGGCACTGATTTCAGAGTTGCTGGCTGTCATGCGTGGGACGAACATAAGGGAGCATAATTTATCCATAGCTTATTTAACAGAATATCGCTCGTAAGGTTAATCAACATTCCTAGGCAGTCCACTACCTGCCACACTTTACGAAAGGCTCGTAATGCAGATGCAGTCGTCCAGTCTTCATCTGACTACCAACTACAAAACCCGGCTGCATTATCTGAGGTATCCTGTGAACAAATGATTCCGTCTTGTTTCTATCACCACCATCCAAATTTACAAATGGATGCTTATCAGTACACCGTGCGCCTTGTTGGGTGCCACTCAGCTCTGACCGCGATGAACAGAAGGCCTGTCACTGTACGCGACATAATGAACAATATTTGTATACAGACACAGGGAGCACTGGAGTTTTACCAGGACCGACAATCTGAACCACTACTGTTTAGACGTTAGTAGGGATAATCGCCTGCCCAACCAGACCGTATACGTATGAAAAACCGTCAATATAAATCGAGGTGTGTGAGATTTACTGGGAAGGTTCCGTAGGAGTTATTGTTTCAAGCATTACAACAATCTTGCCAATGCTTCAATTCCCCGGAAGTCTAAAAAAACAGAATTCCCAGGTCACGTGTCTTCGTCCTCTGTGTTTTGTATCAACCTTAGTTTTTGAGATCGATGGATACTTATTACTTCAGAAAGCAAAATGTTTTATTGGACTGTTGAAAATATAGAATCCGGTTAAATGCTACCTAGTCGGTAATGAAACAACAGAAAGGCCGGTTAGAGGTTATAGTACAAAAATCGGAACGTTGGGTTCACAAAATCACCGTGATTACAAGAACACTTGAGCCAACTTACGAACGACTAGTCGTTGAAAAAACTATTTAGCCAGAGTATCCTTTGGCGATGTGCTACTCGAAGAAATGGCGAGAATACTAGACAGGTCTGAGCTAAATGACTAGACTTGTTCTGTATCGCGGACTTCCCTGTAGGTCCATCGTGTCTTAACGAACAAACGATCCTAATATCTCTATCCCGGAGTCCGTCATTTAAACTAGGGTGTCGCTATTAATCACTTCACAGTATTTGGGTACATTTCATGCATCGGTAAGAGGAAACAGCTAATGGTTCCATCAATCAGCGGGTCGCATGAAATGACAGACCTCAAATTCTCAATGAAGAGAACCATTTAAATAGTACGTCCGTGACAAAAAGGCAACGAATTCTCAAGTAGGGTTGACTAAAGTGCCTCAGGTAACAAGTTTACTTGCTCATAGTTACAAAATAAAGTGGTAGATGGCAGTGTCGTATACTAAACCCGAAATTTATGTTACAAACCGTGCATAGCAAAGTGGGAGATATCATCAATAAGCCAGTGAAGTTTTCCGGTAGTGACAACTTAACTGGTCAAGTTGTTGTTTGGAGAGCATATGATCTTTAAATGCTGCATATTGCTGATGTCTCTAGTGGGTCGCTGGCCCGTTTTTTATCTTTAGCACTGGTTTGTGATACTTCGTCACCGTTCAAGAGATATTATCACAGTTTGTTTGCGATGTAAGAAAACAATACTGAAAACAGGATGGTACCATTTGAAGCCACTTGGCTTCCCAAGTCAAATTATGTTATTTTTATCATCACAGTGGGTACCAAACTACAGGGCACCCTTGAAGTGTGAAATCAAAACACTAAGGAAATAGACATCTGCAAACTGCCTAAACTCTGCCTGGTGGCAAAAATGGGGGTTTGGGTAGAAAATTTAAACAGCGTAAGCCAGGCATTGATAGAATCCCCAGGTTCAGGATTTACCGGCGGTATTTTAAAGCAAAAAACGAAAAACATATTACTTCTAGAAGCCAGTAGGAAACGCTTGAGTCTGGGTTGAGGACACCTTTAGCGTTACACACAGGCGCAAATTTAACCGAACAAACAAGATTCTGAGCACTAAGTTCAAAAACATCTGGTTCGTGGTGAAAGCAGAGGGAAAAAAGATAATTCAAAAGGGTAAACGAATGAACGATCACAACTGGAAGTCTGCGGAAAAAGCAATACGTGTGAACAAAATTCTCCAACTACCACGTTATCTATCTCAGTTGCCACAAACAGAAGTGCACTTGAAAAGTATTCGACCGCAATGAAACTCAAAACACTGATGAGTAACCTAAGTTGGACACAGAAAACTATTCCAAATGGATTTTTAGAGTATCTTACTTCCAAAGAGGTTTTATCTTGAGATAACTCAGGAAACAGAATTCGACCACCTTGATCACACACTGTGGAAGTAGAAGAATTGCCTTTCAGTGTATTTCGAAGCTGATTGCTTTTTGAAGATACGAGATATGTATGATACATAAACCTAATGTCCTCTATAGACAGAAGTACTTTACCCAACAAGGAAAATTGTGTCCTGCGTACTGAGGCACCAGTAGACAGAAGGGTGTACCAATATTCCTGGTGATTGTTAGCAAAAATTTTGCAACCAAACGGACCATAATGAAAAATAAGCGATAGTCTCAGACCATACAAAAACTCCGGCGACCAGGCCTGCATTCACCTCGGCGGCTTGCTTATGTTATTTATGTTTCTTGCGTGAATACTACTTGAACCTTTCTACTTGGTTGAGAAAATTGGATGCGGAAAACGCAGAAAAAACGTCTGTGCGATTTGTGACCTTTATCATTACGTACATTCAAATCTAACCACCGTGCATATTAATCCCAAATTATCTTTGGGAAAAGGCTAACTGATTAGCAGGACAGGAAATGAGGATTACTTCGAAGTGAGTTGTAGATCAGCAGACCAACACATAGTAGCAAATGCACTTTTCTCACCAATTGTGCGCACCTGTGGGATTTGCGAAATTTGTCTTTGTCCGTCTCATTTGAATACCGCTCCAAATCTGGCAGGAATATTCAAGTTGCTAGGGATCAGGAGTTACAGCATTGTGATCAAACTATGCTTTTATTGGGATTCGTCGGAGATGAGCTTCTTTGTTTGTCCTGGGTGCTGAGATCAGGATACCTGATATCCTAGGCGAACGCAGTACCACTAGTCAAAAGACGGGGGCTGGATCTTTCTTAATTATCATATCCGACCAGGAGAAAGTCACGAAAGACTTGCTTGTCTACCACAACTTCCCGGTAACTGACATATGCCGATGCACGCTAAATGTTCAAATAAGAGTGACGTATATACATTATAATCTCTAAATAAATCACCCCACAAGGTAGGTGGAATGACCGATGTTCCCGAAGCAGATCCAGCATCAGCGGAAACTGAACCAAGCAGTGATGCTGTTTCATTGTTCGCGAAGTCTACTTATTGGTGAGTTGACTGCGTTCTAATGGGAGTCCCAAATGAATCCCATCTAAATTTCTTATCTATAATATTCTTCAGTTGCACGTGCTGCACAGCTTCACCTTATGTCTCAGGCGGTGTGTTATCCAAGAAATCGCAGTATGTTTTTCTATGAAACAATGCTCACGAGGTCGATGAAGTCCATATGACAGCCTGTGACCGGTTTTGCTCTTCTTGGGACTTATCATGTCGCCGCAATATTAGAGTTTCCATCAACCTGTTCTTCTTGAACCCCAGAAAAAAATAACAGATCAGAGATTTAGCTAAATTCAGCTGTCTCCTGTTAGAAGCCATGACCGGTTTGCTCTTCTTGGGACTTATCATGTCGCCGCAATATTAGAGTTTCCATCAACCTGTTCTTCTTGAACCCCAGAAAAAAATAACAGATCAGAGATTTAGCTAAATTCAGCTGTCTCCTGTTAGAAGCCAAATGGTGTGGAAATGAATGCACAATGCATTTAACTTGGGTTCAAGCTGAACAAAAAATTACCGGAAACCGAGCTACTGGGCTTGAAGTGGGACCGGTCGTGTCCTGACAAACAGTTTTAGCCAAACTTATCAGCAGTATATGCTATCCGGGAAATGTTTACTACTGTTCAGTCGATTAGCTGACCATGTCACTATAAAACCAGACAGCTAATGGGTGATTTAAAAAAGGTTTGCGCAATGTAAGGTAGGAATAGCCAGCCATTTTAACAGAAAGCATCAGTGTGCTGTATGCTGTGATGAAATGATTGTGATATTTTCAAATTAATTTTCTCACCCCGTCGGTTAGTAGCAAATGAATGTATGGTGGACGCAGTCACTTGTACTGAGGGTCTTTTTATCTCCAAAACCGATGGGAAAATACTACCTTTTTGTTTTAAAACGCGGCCAGTACAAAATTGAAAATAAACAGCACGGAAATCGCGAATTTGGCGACACAAGTTCGTTCGCAGTGACATCCACATGTTCATATGTTTACCTAGGATATTGCCTTAAGCTATGTTAACCACGTCTAGTTTGCGTACGTCCTGTAACACACCAAAAAACTGTGAGTCATTGAGTGTTTCAAAGTTCCTTGGTTTGGTGTGCTATTCGCAAAGCAAGTAGATGACATTTACAAAGAATGGGATATCTACAATGTTTGGCTTCCAGGCTTTCTAAACCTAAGAGAACAGAATGTCCAAACCGTCGGATTTAAACATAAGTGTTTGTCCAGAGGCAAAAAATCACAACCCGAATTTATGCTCTATGCATCTGGCAAGACAATGGGCACAGTAAAATAGGTAGTGTACGGCCTATGGGGTAGGCTGATTCATAGAGATTACTATCAGTAGTTGACGTGTCCATCCTTAGTGTAGCCGTTAGGCTTGAAGTTTGGCATTTTGCCACAACCGACGGGTGACTAATCCCGTTGACAAAACAGCCACGCATCAGCTAAACACACCTTTACCTACACTGCACGATAAATGTGTTGCTGCAACCAGGAGACCAAATGGCACATGAAGCCACCAAATGTCCTCTTAAAGGATTCACTGCAGCTATTGATCGCTGATAGTTTTGGGCCGTTGTGATTGTGATGTCGAACTAGGTACTGTCAAGGTAGACTAAGAAGAGTTTTGCGTTTGGTGAAGTTTAAGGAGCGAAAAGTGCCAACGAGTTTGAAACGGGTCGTTCCCGGCTTTGGTTCCGGTGTTCTTACTTCAAGGCCCTGATATTGGGGCGCTCAGTCATTTATAACCAGCCTGATCATTTATGCTAACAGAAAATGTTGCTGTATTTGGTATGACCTGATATGATAACCATGAAACCAATCAACTTACACTTATGTTAAGAAATTGGTAAATTCTTTCATTTTTATTGCTTTACAGCCGCGATTACAAACCTTTGGATACAGAAATCTCTTAGAGGTGACGGAATAAGAATGGTCAACTGGGGAAGGTTATGCCTAAGTAGACAGTAAACACACCAACGACGGCTTCCAAAAAGACAAATATGGATGGGTTTTCTTTTGATAGCAGTGAGGCCTTCCTGAATAACTGGTCTTTTCTTGTGTTTCAATGCCCTAATTTGGTGTAAAAGAACAAATGTTTTCTGATTTCGTGCTTTCAGTCCATAGTCCGTCCTTGAGCATCCATATATTCGTCTGCTTTAGCAATACCACAGACGGGGGACGAATTTTGAAGGTCATGCTTAGCAGAAATCTGTCATACATGATCATATGCATTGAGCAAGTCATCATACATCTTTGCATCAGAATGTGTGCTACAGACTCTTACTCGGTGAAATATCGCTTGTACATGGCTAGTTTAGTGCCGCTTACTTTATTCAGAGGGGCTGGGATTTAAATGGATCCTGAAAATGTTAGAGTTCAGAATTAGGAGGTCAGCATGGCATCAAGGAATTATTCAGTGTATAACTAGAGAAGTCCTGAAGAACACTGAACTGCACAATCAGCTGGTCAGCTGCCACCAAAAACTTCATGGCGTATTGTTTTCCGTGACAGGAATTTTCATCCGAAATCCCAAACCAAAAGCATTTCTCTGGTGCGAAATAATGAAGTATGCACCGGACGGAACAGTCATCCAGATTCAGTGGCAGTGACCGGAAACCACTTTCAGACATAAATATAATCCGAAAAATTTGTGCCTAAATCCGTTTGCAATCGGGGGATAGTCTTAAAAATTGAAACTGAAATAGAGCGAAACGCATTCATGACACATCACCAAAAAGTAGAAAGAGTTAGGCACTTTGGAAATGTAAGTAGATCACAGAGGACATTCCCACAATACTGAAGTCCTTCCAAGTGTTCTGAATTATGGCACCCACCAGCTTTTCTGTACACAGACCGAGACCAATTAAGGTTAGTTGACTCTTCTTATTTGGTTTAAATGCACACTAGTTTAGGTGATTAAGTATCTCTAGACGTATTGCAGGTGGTCGCTGCGTAATCAGCAAACTTTCATTAGCCTCTAAATTGTAAGCAGTGACACTAAAAAACGGTTAAGTTACGGAAAATCGCAGCAAACGGTTAACTACGTAATATATTATATGAACGGCTGACATCCTCATCAGAGTAGATAAAATAACGCAGTAGTTAATGATATGTCATTCGCGTTTCAAAGCAGAAATACAAATTTTGAGTATCCTCAAACGGCTCATATCGGAACCTAATAGAACAATCAACTAAGTAAGGCTTTTGCTGCAATAAACCATTCTACAAAATTACTGCCCGTTTTTTATTTCTCGGTCGATTTTTTATTTGTTTACATAAACCAGCTAGAAAGTGTTGGTATGACATATGCGTCTTCGCTGAAAGAGTAGTAGCTAGACCTTTGTTGTGAAAAGTTTAAAATAGCGATACTCAAGGGGTTTATGTGTATTATCGCTCCAAAACTGCTCTAATCAAAGTGACAACAAAGGTGAGCTTGGTAATGTAGACCAAAATAATTATGCCGTAAGTGCGTACGGACAGTGATACATTTGTTTACTTGTATCAGAATAAACGAATGGATTATTAAGTACAGGAAATAATGTAAAACAAATGAAGTCAAAGCTTATTCTATTCGGAAATTTCTTCAGTTCTCATACAAACTACTCACAGATGGATCGGTGCATGCGTTCCCTAAAAATATACTGCATCCACGCTCCGATATCTTATAAAGTTCTGTTTTTTTTAGCTCTTGCGTATCTCATTCAAACTGGAAATCCCAGTTAAACGGATAACCAGCATGTTTAGCCTCAGCACAACTAGTGTGGGCTTGATATGACCCACCTTTACTTCCCCAGAACACGAGAGAGTAGACGAAACATACACTAGATAAGGAATGACCTAAAAGCCTGTTTTTGTCATATAGGTTCAACGAAACTCTCAGAACCGTCCATTCCCCTGCAACGAAAGTCCGGGTCAGCAATGCAAGATTCCCACGAGTTTTATCCAAATATTTTGTGAGGCCATACAGTATGCCTGTTTTCTACACCTTACTGTACTATATTATATTATACCAAACTGTACTAGGCTGTACCGTACGTATTGTACCTACACTATTACGCCACCAATGTTAGCACGTTTTAGCACGTCTGTTGCGTTAATACCACAATGTGATCTGCTACCAAAACTCAAGCTCAGTGTAGTCAACTGCTCGTAACACTCTATAACCAAACGGCTTGGGTCATTGCTAGCGCCGTTCAGGAGAGAAGATTCCTACCTAGTCTAGAAAATGTGGTTATTATCGTCATATAACCGGAATGACCAGCACTTCCGGTCACATTGTTTACGAGTATGCTGCTTAGAGCATCCACTGAATGTACTTGACACAGTTGAACATATGAAGTATCAATATCTCTTCGCAAACCTCATGTTCAGCCAAATTTACGGATAAAAATGTTGTAACAGTGAAGTCTTCACTTGATTCTTTTGTCACAGTTTTCTTCCTCAGAAACCTTGAGACCCGTTTAGTTATAGTTTTATCACCACTGCTACTGAAATGCACTTATGTAGACGACTTTTTGATTCCGAAAGTTGAAATAAAGATAAATCCTACTAACAGAGCCCAGTACGCCTATTGTTTACAGTGCTTGTTAGTGCTTCGAATTAAGTTAATCAAAAACTACTGAAAACTCCATGACGTCACACGATCGAACGTCACACCGCTCCTATTGGAGCTCATCACGTAGGCGCAGTTCCAGAGTTTCTGTCGTCCTTATATCCTAATTGAACCCAGTTTGCACGAAATTAGACAAATACATTCATTTGCACACCAACATGTTTTTAGTGGGAGGCCCAATTTAATCCCAGCTGAATTTCGTGTTTTTGAAATGATATTTTAATGCCCATGCATAAAGTGCAACCGACTACATCGAAGTTTCCCACAGTTGGAGGGTTGTTATATTGTGTGAATTCAATGAAGATACAGGGTTCTGTTGAAGAGTTTACACACGAAACCTTCACTTTACTACTTGCGATTTTCAGGGCTAAAGGTTGGGTCTGTGTGTTTGCTACGATAGTCTAGAAATGAGCAAACCTAAATCAGTACTACTATGTGTTACTGTGTATATTCGTCTACCAAAGTCTCCAGCATCCGTAGCAAATAACTATATCATCTGTTGTCCCAGATCACTAACGTCATTAAATTTGATTTTCTTGTTAAACTTTGCTTCTGAGCCCTTTATCTGAAAGTATCAGTCCTGATCACTGTCGCTGAGTCATCATTTCAAAGCAGGAAACGAACACATTTGCCTATGTGGTGCGATTATCTAAGATGGTTAACCTTTGATTTCTGTTGACTTTCGTACTTGAACATAGACGTGGGAAAATTCCTTGGAACAAACCAGTGGCCATTTCCGAACATCACTGCCTACAGCGAACGAAATATGATGACAATGGGCCAAGCGTATATGGAGATTACTTGTTTTAACGCACTCAATTAGACAAACTTGGTTTTGGATCTAAAGGATCCGAGTTCAGATATTTTGCATTCTGTTTGTTGTCGGAAATGGAGTGCTTTTGAACAAGCCAAGAGCGTTGGTTTCATGACTGCTGTTAAACTGCCTTTGTGAACCGTCTAATTTGGCTTCCACCATAAAACACGCGTTGGATCAAAGTTAGCGTCACATTTATAAACTCTCAGTAGTTTTTCTTATACTGTTCTCAGCGCCATTTTGTGACCTTGATCCCACATTAGATTTGAGCCCATCAAAAATGAGTCAGTGAAATTCGTGCTCGCCTAGTATTTCATTTTCCAGAGTTCTGGTCTTGTCTACGCCTACAGCCAGACAAAACCTGATAAAACTACGAGTTTAGCTGTATCACGGAAGCATGGACGGTACCGTATTCTGCCTGAGCGTGGATTAACTACAGTGTGATTATACAGAAGTAACTGAAGTTTACTGCGTGTAGATACCAACAAAAAGTTCGCATGTTCGAATTTCCCAACAGATTTATCAGGTGCACACTGCAGATGGCTGTTAACGCGGTTGAAACAGCTGTCGTGTACTGTCCAGGTTTTCAGCATATGACGACCATACAGAATAGAACCACAACTGAAATCTGAATTACTCGTTAAGGTTAGCAAAAGACTGAAAATTACTGGCTTCTAAGTAAACACAGAACTTACAAATGTGGTGCACTCAGCATATCATCGAGAAATCGCCGTGCGAAGATCGTTGCACCACCGAACGCTCCTCCGCCTATGAGGACTGCTATGAATCCAAGTAGCGATGCAATCGGGGAACTCCGGAGACATCGTATACAGGAGTTTTCTCCTGAAAATTTGAAGATGACGGTGGATTAATTCTAGATGGTAGTGAGTTCTGTATGATATGCATTCATGTCACCCTCGCTTTTAGAGTCATTCTCCTGTCCTGACGTACTTATTCTGGTGGATACCAAAATAAGTTCACTAGGATTAGGAGAATAACGTTCAAACGAGGATGGTTGGAATACAAAAGAGTGGAACTTGGATAATTTTTGTGAGCACTAATAAACAGATGTCAATAAATAATAAAATATGTAATGTTGTCGGGTAATCACTGGCCACACTAGTATGAGAAGCACATCGGACTTTGAATGTTGGGTCCAAAATGAGTAAGGATCTGACGAAGAAGCTTCAGATTCATATACGTATATTTCACGAAATCTCCGTGGATAGATGCCTTTCCGCTAAAAGCCACGGTTGAGAATTGTTGATAAAAGTTTCAAGATTTTTCGGTTTTCCCATCCCTGTTGTGAGTATACCAGCTTTCAAAATCCTACACACACTGAAGCTAGTTTTTTGTGTGATTCAAACTACTGTATCAGTCGGTAGCGTAAAACGCTCTAGTTTCAAACAAAACACATCTAGATCTTAAGGACACCACAAAAGGTTGGTTGAACCAAGCTTACATCTGTATGGTTTGTAGCAATGGACCCTTTTGGGTTGGTTGCAAAAGGTCTTCCAGTATACTACCATTGTTGAACTGGACGTGTCAGGAGGGAAAAGAATATTTTAACGGATCTACTGTAAGGACAGAATCAAAACCCGAGTACCATTCGATCGGTCACAGTTTCAAACAGATGCTCAACGAATGATTCTGAATTGTAGGTCTCATACTTAAAAGTAAGGGAACCAAGGGGGACTTAAAAAACTACCATATTTAGTAAAACAAGCTAAACAGCCAAACCTGGAAATTCTTCAAAAGTAAGAAACACCACTTCGATACTGTGGAGCCAGTAACCCCTTTTTTAAATATCACAATGGAATTGAAATTTAGTCCACCAGAACCGTTACAGAGGAACAGAGGAAAAAGTTGAAATTATTATTCTGTGCGCTAAACACATGTGCTAGACAAAATTTTCAAAATTTTTCGCGGCACTTCAGAGCATCGTCTGTTTCTCATGTTGACGAAAGAAATCCGTTTTTTGTCAAACTTTGGTTAGCATTTTTATTGCTGGCACATCATCGGATTACTAAAGCCACAACACAGGACCTCAAAGACAAACTCAAAATTGAGGGAATCTCCCAAAGATGCGAATATACACTTCCTCATCTGCGTTCTGCACTGAGGGTTATGGCTGTACAGATAGGAATTTGTTGCTTATATCAACCACTCCAATCTTGGTTCGGAATTCGGTCACTTCAGATATACCCATCCACAATAAACAACCAAGGGCTATCCTGGAAAGTTACCACTTTTGGTCGGTTCTTTTACAGCCGCACTCATAAATCATCAGTGGTGACCAACTTTCTGCACATCAGCGTAAAGGCTGAACACAGTGTAAGGATGAGCCTAGCTTTGGATTTGCCGATGAGCACCATCCACACGGAATATTTCTGCCATGTCTACAAGAACGCTGTCTTTGCCTGTAAAACTGCTTTGAGTGTATTCCCGAGTAGGTCCTCTTCACTGTGCTGACTTCCCTCCCGTTCGGAACGAGAATACAAATGACCCATAAATATCCTGCACAGCCTAAGAACCGCTCTGAAACGAATGTGGCTGGATAGGGNATTCTAGCAAAATGCGTAAACAGTTCACGAAAGTAGTCGTAGGCTTTGTTTAACGCTTGATGGAACGTACGTAAACACTGCGGTTCACCTATGCATAGACTAGCGACTTACACTCTTCCGGTTCGCCTGGCACAGTTCGAATTCGTAAACAAAACAAATGGAGACTTCGAGCGCTTACGCACTCGTCAGGCGCTGAAAAACGCTGAGTTCACCAAATAATTAGCGGCATGTTCTGAAAGTATGTGGTGGTATAAATCATCATTTCAGATTTTACCTAATAGTTGGAGGTTTCCAGTTTACTTCTTCTGATTGACGAACCTGGTACCTTCTGACCGTGACTCAAGACGCGTAACCCCCAATTTAGAATGCTTATATAGTTGGTAATTTGTTGAAATATTGGTAGCTCGGGTGAGTTTATTGGTTGTTGATCAGGTGGCTGTTGATCTGTTCGCCGAGCTTGGCAATTGGCTTGCAAACGTTTCGTCACCATACGAGGAGACATCATCAGTGCGCAGTTGAGTGGGTACTTCTTCCTTACCTGCATGCGCTTATATAGCATTCGAGGGCTATCTGTTATCTTCTGACGTGATTGGCTACTAAAAGTGTAACAAATTTGGTGAATCTATTGGTCCATTTGTGATCTTTGTTGCGTTGTGGTCTGCGTTCCTTTGTGTCGATTGGTTATCCTCACGTTCTCTCCGGCCTCGCGTTGTATTGCGTTGTGGTCTTGAGGCCGGAGAGAACGAACTACTAAAAATAGAAGGCGTGAGGATAACCAATCGACACAAAGGAACGCAGACCACAACGCAACAAAGATCACATATGGACCAATAGATTCACCAAATTTGTTACACTTTAAGTGGCCAATCACGTCAGAAGATAACAGATAGCCCTCGAATGCTATATAAGCGCACGCAGGTAAGGAAGAAGTACCCACTCAACTGCGCACTGATGATGTCTCCTCGTATGGTGACGAAACGTTTGCAAGCCAATTGCCAAGCTCGGCGAACAGATCAACAGCCACCTGATCAACAACCAATGCTTATATAGTGCTCTTCCAGGTTCCCCTTAAAATCAACCGCGACCATTATTGAAATTTCTGTTTCAGGTATATTTCTAGTAATCTGGTTTCATAAGAATCCACAGACCTCAGAAAGAGAAAAAAGATTGCCTGAGAAGAATACCATTGTTTGACATTGTAAAACGAGGCACGATCGTAAGTTTCACACTTGATGAATGAGATAACGGAGATATAAATTTCATCATAGAAAAGAACGATTTGAGGAAATGTATAACTGCTGTGCCTGAATTTAATAGTTATCGATGTCATATCCGTGCGGTTGCTTTTTAGAATCTGCTTAAACCGTCTAAATGTAGTCAGAGTCGGGCAACTGCAGCTGAGAAATAGGGTCAGGTTTGTGACAGCACTGCGAATCGCAGTTGAAGCTGATGAGGATAAGCTTATAAGCTACGAAAAATTTTGTGCTTTCGAGGCTTCTCATCAACTTCCTAATTAACAGTACACTAAAGAAAGCCAGGACGTTCCGGGTTATGTGCTTCTGGTGACAGATAATTTTGTATATCCAAACTAATCAAACGAGTCGCCTACACTGCTTTGTGCGACCATTCGGAGCTCTGCATGAATTAGCGCATTTTGTCTCATAACCTCCCCGTAGTCAGTTTTGATTTGTTTGCATGGGTTCTTGAATGAGTTAAACGTCCATTTTCAAAGCTGCCCTTTTGTTATGTGATTAATAAAACCTGCCACTCTGTCGTGTGAACTATCATCCAGGTTTGCTGAAACAAGCCCAGCATTTGCGCAAATGCCAGTCAACTATTCATCGATATTTACATAAGAGCGGATGGTTGCTGAACCGGTTGAAATCACTTGTCAGCGTCCAGCAAAATAAAGCTCCCGCTTGTTGGACNGAGCGGATGGTGGCTGAACCGGTTGAAATCACTTGTCAGCGTCCAGCAAAATAAAGCTCCCGCTTGTTGGACCTCATCTCGGAAGATTAAATTAAGGAAGAAGAATAAAGGTCGTAACTTTGAAGAAAACAGGAAAGATGCCTGGAAGATATTTAGCTGCCGTGGTTTTTTTAACCAAAAAGTTCAGGTAGGCGTAACATGGACGCAAAGACAAGCCTGAGGATAATTTTGCTTATGAATAAGAAAATAAAAATCGAAAATTTGTGCCACATTTGGAAGTTCACATTTCCATAAATATAAACGGATTCAAATGTGTCTTTTGATCGGTTGTTCTTGTAAAGCAGGAACACACCCGTGGAAGATATTGCGACGCAGGACACTTTTCACCCTTGGGAGAGACGCATGTATCCAAGTTTTTTGTGGGTTAGAGGCACTGTGCCTGGCTAAATTCAGTTGAAACAAACACGATACACGGTAAAACGGTAAGCAGATACGTGTTTATGTTGGTCACTCAAGCTATTTAGACTCAAAACACGCAGATAATTTTGACATTTAAAAACGGTGACTTTGGTTAAAAAATTTTTGAACTGTTAACAGTGAGAAAGAATAGAGGCTTTACGCCATCTCGATTATGCGCTGATCAGAAGATTCTGACTAGAACTTTAATTTAGATTTATTGACTTGTGACATGATAACAAATGGGAAGACAAAAGCAGCAACATGCGTTAGTTTTTTTATGGAGGCAACTTGTCAGACGATTTCGATTATCATGTAGGCTTAGTAGATGGCAAACTTCCTATTTGAAAAGAAACCAAACAGCAATAAAAATGAACTACACCAAAATATTGAAAGCAAGATTTAAACCGAGCAATTTGGTTTATCTGCCTTATTTATCTTGCTGCTCTGCTGGGAACAGGATAATTCAAAGAGCAGGAAGGTTCACTTGCGTGGCACCAAGTTCAAAAGCTACGTTCTAATAATTTTTAAGCAAACGCTCATGTAACCACTCTTCATGAGCGCTTTGCGAACATCTTTTACTGAATTTGAATTTAATTCAGGTCAACAAAGGGGGTGCTTTAGAAGTGCATTTATTTCTGCTTTCTTAGGTCACTGATGTTCGCCACAGGTGTTATGGTCGTCAGACTCTCCAAAAGCGGATCTAATTGTAACCGTTAGTTTAAGGCAAAAACATTTTACCATAATTGAGTACCATCCCTGACGTAGCCTACTTTGTATGCACCAAAAATAGTTTGCAGACGCAGGTAAAAAATATCGCTCCCAATAGCGAACGACAGCTTACCTATTCCGGTCATCTAAAACCACATACTTAAATACACGTGCAGGCAGACA